GGTGGGCAGGGGGCTGGGGACACGTGCCTGGAGCCAGTGGGTCATTGTTGTTGTTAATCCTGACCTTTTTCTTTTATTTTAAATCATTCTTTATTGTTGAAAGTATTACAGATGTCCCCTTTTTCCCCCATTGACTCCCTCCAGCCTGCCACCACCTCCCTCCACCCTCCCTCCCCTGCCCCAGTCCCTCACTGCCCCATTGTCTGGCTATGGGCCGTGCATATACACATACAAAGTTCTTGGTTGATTATTTACCATCCACCCATCCACCCTCCCCCACCTTCCCTCCCAGATTCTACACTCTGTTCCATTCTTCCATGTCTCTGGATCCACTCTCCCCCCCCCCCCCTCCCCTGCCTTCCCGCTGGGATTCTGCACTCTGTTCCATGCTTCTGAGGGTATTCTCCCATTGATTTCAGAGAGAGTGGGAGAGAGAGGGGAAGAGAGAGAGAAACATCGATGTGAGAGAAACACAGGGATTGGTTGCCTCCTGCACGAGCCCCGACCGGGGCCCCGGGCCGGGGAGGAGCCTGCAACCGAGGTACGTGCCCTTGACCAAAATCGAATGCAGGACCCTTCAGTCTGCAGGCCGACGCTCTACCCACTGAGCCACACCGGCGAGGGTGCTAAAGGGTCATCTTGCCGACTTCTGTCTCGACCTCAAGGTGTCCCCAGGGTCCCTCCTGGGATGTGCAGGGTCCCCCCCTCGCCCCCCGAATATTTGTATCGGATTGTTTGCTATTAGATGTGTGTGTTCCTATTGCATTTTGTTACTTCCTGACCTTGTTTTCAACCCCTCGAGGTTCCCATACATTCTCTGTGCTCTCAATTCCTCCTGATTTAGTGCCAACACGACGTGCCTCTCGAGGTAAACAAGCCAGACCGATGTGCGTGGAGCATCGAGTCATTCAACCCTCTTCCCTCCTTTGTCTTGTTTCTTATCTCCCTCTTCCTCTCTATTAATAAGTGCTCGCGTCACGTAAAACTGTGTGACAGGCATTTCCTGGACGGGAGGCAGGGCCTGGGACAGCAGTTCCAAACGCCGAGGGTGAGCAGCCCGACCGCGGGGCACTGCCCGCGCTGCGGCCTTACCCACCACCCCTGGGGTCGGGCCGTCTGCGCGCCGTTCGTTACTGACTCAGCATTATTAGATGGCGAGCGTCTGACACAGGAGAAGAAGCGTGCGTGTAAAAGGGCGGAGAGAATGTGCCCTAGTGTTGTGACATCCTAGGAGGTTATCTGCCTACCCTCCTACCTACTGTCTCTCCCTCCTACTTTCAGAGGAGTTTGGGTTCACAGCGAATGAAGGGAAAGGACAGAGTTCTCCTACCTCCCCCCCAACACAGGCCCGGCCTCCCACTGTCCACACCCCACACGAGACGGCGCGTTCGTCACGACGGATGGGCCTGTGTGATACATCACTGTGACCCCAGCCACGTGGGCAGCGGGTTCAGTCTTGGGTTGTAGATGCCGTGGGTCTGACACACGTACAGTGACAAGCATCCACCATGACAGTGTCTTGTACGTCACCCATGCCTCCCGCCCTCCTCCCACCCCTGCAGACTCCTCACTGTCTCCATGGTTTTGCTTTCGCTAGAACGGCACGTCGTTGGAATCCTGCAGCCGTAACTGTGCAGAGTGGCTTCCTCCACTTGTGCGTATTGAGGGCGCCTCCGTGTCCGCCCAGGGCTCGCTCGCTCGCTGTGCTGAGCACTGAAATGATATCCCGTCGCCTGGATGGATCGCGTCTACCATCCACTCACCTGCTCAAGCACGTCCTTGTTGCTTCCGAGTTTGGGCAACTCTGAGTAACGGGCCTGTTTGTCCATCCCATTGACCTGTGTGCCTCCTCTTTGCCAACCCGCCCTGTCCTGATTCCTACAGTCCCTGGCCAGCCTTGACGTCGGATGGTGCCGGTCCCTCACCTTGGCTCTTCTCACTCAGGCTTGTGTTGACTATTCTGGCACTTTTGCCCTCCAGATAAACCTCAGAATCTGTTTGTCGATATTAAAAAAAAACTTACCGGATGGCACTGAATCTTTAAATCAACTTGGAAAGAACTGACATCTTAACAGTATTGGATCTTCTCATCCACGCACGTGGACTACCCATTTATTTAATTTTCTTTGATGAGAGTGTCATAATTTCCTCGTATAGTCATTGCACACGTTTTGTTAGATTTC